AGACCCGATGGGATTTACTTCAACGGCTCCAGGATGTACAGCAATGAGGATTTGAAACCTACGCTGGTCGATCAGATAGACAATCAACTGAAGAATTCTGGTCATATCGAACATAAGCCCTTGCATGTCGAACCTAAACCTAGTTGGTCAAAGGAATTATTGCTGGGTACCAGTACTTATCCGATACCCGCGGTTCCATTTGATGAACATCCAAGCTTGGGCCTAACGCTGAATATGCGGATCTCTAACAACCATTCCTTTCCGTTAAAGGTGCGAGATATCTTCAAAAACGTGCCCATTGTTCATACCACCGCTAAGGAATCTCATGAATGGCTAAGTGGTCCTAACATGCGTTATTGGCCACAGCAACTAAACTTTGCGGTTTGGTGTGCCACTAGCGGCTGCGGTGTAAGTGCGAACTTGATGAAGAATTCAATATTCATGTTTCATTTTCACTTCACGGTTAGAAGAATACTGCATGAGATGGGAGTTACCGCTTTACCGGGAGATGCTGCGTTTTATCCTAGAGATAACAAATACGACGTTTTATTGACTGAGAGCAGGCTCATCTAATGCATTCAAATCCAACTCTATAAATGTCGAACCGGCTTGACTTATCCTCTTCCGCAGGCATCTCCTTGGCTCTTTTTGCTCCTTGGGCTTCCTGTAGACCGCTTTTTCTCTCCCTCAACTCTTTAAAACAAATACTGTGTAGTTGTTTGTGGGACAAGATTTTAATAGACCCTTTGAAGTTAAGGGTCACGTGTCTTTACTGGCGAGCAAATTTTTTATCTTATTTTAAATTGGTGCGATTCTTTTTAGCTACTTGTAAAGAACTGAATGAAACGATGTGTAACCAGTGTTTTATTACGAAATGCAGTTTAATTACAATCTCTCAAAACAGGTTGTAGAAAGTTTGTTTGCTCACCAATATATTTCACCCATGGGAATCAAGATGTTCATTCATTTGCTCTCAGTGAGTTAATCAGCACGTGATTACTGAGCTGCAAAGCCTTTTCCATTGGGMAAACTGATGCAACGGTGCATGATTGGTTCCCTATTTCTGAGTCGGAAATATAAAGCAGTACCAATGTTTTGAAAACTCTTTGGCTCTATTAATAGTGCGTGCCTGTGGAATTATAGCTGACGTATAAATAAATAATTAGATCTTAAAAAACAGCGATGTGCATTGAATTTGAAGGAACAAAGAATTAGTCTGTGGCCTTAAAAAACAGAGTGTGCATTGAATTTGAAACTAGTCCATTGTCTTTGTGGGGGTTTCAAAATATTCACATAATACCCGGGAAATACCAAGACGTCAAAGTTGCTATACGTGTAGTGTTACACAAACCTATCTACCCGTTCAATAAATAACATTAGAATCCAGGACAATCCAATATTATCCCATAAGCCTTGATTGACATATTCCTAACTTACAACATCATACATTCAAAACGTATAAATAAAATCCAAATAGGATGCGGCTTTCACTAACAGATCGCGTCTTTCTTGGCAAGCATCCAACCGGAGTACAACTCGTTTCGATCCTCTAATTACCCTCGTTCAGAACTAAACAAAGATGAAGCTCCTTATTGTAACACTTTGCGTTCTTGCTCTTCTTATCCCTTCTGGTAAGTAGTAATTAAAATCCAGATAAATAGCTCTTATAATATATGTTAGTATTTTCTTTAGAGTTTGCTCGTACCGTTGGAGATGTGGCTGAGCCGAAATCAACCTTCAACAAGTACATTTTGGGATAAAAAAGTGGACTTCCCTTATATATCATAGAGAAAGCACGAAATCTTATTTAAGGAATTTTACTAGGATTGGGTAACTAAATATAAATGATAGCATTTAGTTCTTTTCCGCTCGCTCGTACAAGAATACCACCTCTCTTATTTATGTTAGGGAGGATACCAATCCTGAACGGAACTTAATTAATTTTTCAAATGCATTCAACCATTACGCCTAGGATTCTAAAATCTCCAAAATTTCTTGACTAACRTTTGTTTGACCGTAGACTCATCGAAATGCATAGCTGTTTTTGTATTCCTGTTGGAARGCTGTAAAATAAATGTAGAAAATACCGCTCCGTTTTGATTAGGCATTACTGCAGCCTATCGTGAACTCCTGTAGTTTTTACTGAATTCATTTGGGGAAAATTAGAATCCAAAGTTATTCTGAAACCTGCTTAACCAAACCACCGCCATCCAGTTAGCTCAGTTCATATGAATGTTGGTCTGGGCCCGGTTGTGCGAATCTGGATAGCGCTATGCGTATTAAATCCTTATCCAGTGAATAAACCGATGCATTTATCCAATAAACTTATTCACTGGATAAGATTTATCCGTTGGATAACGCCACTGATTCAGGCTTCGTAATACCGGGCCCTGAGACTAGGGTTAGACTAGTGCGGAAGCGTCGTGGTTCAAGCATCGGCCGTTCCAACACTCAGGGTTTTAAAATAACTGAGGAGAAGGTGCTGCAAATGATTAGACCTTCAAGTGGGTTGGATGACCACTTGAAATGCCGGTCTCTCTCTATATATATCTCTCTCTCCACACTTCATCATTACTAACCAACATCGGAAGGGCGTAAAAGAGCCACTCAAGGACGTAAAGAAACCCTGGCAGTGACCACCCTCAGTGCCTACACTTCATACTAATCATCTCTCATTCACAAGTCATYGTAAAGCGCCTTTCAAAATATTTTAAACTAAGTTTCAACTTGGTGCTATCCGGAAAGCAAAACTTTTTTTTTTTTTTTGAGCTAATGCATCAGAAGACAAAGATATTTCGGATACATGTTAATATTTTCTCGCTTTGACAAAAAATAATAATAATAATAATAATGGTATAAAACTTCCTTTTGAATTTGAGATATTTTATAACTAATTACGTTTTTTTTTTTAACTACCCTGAGTTCCAGAGGCTAAACCGCCTCTTTTTACCCGACAATCGGATAATTTAGGATTTTTTGAACACAGCGCTGCAAATTTTTTTTTTGTGACGTGCAGAGAAGCCATCTAATCAGATTTAGGTTTGACCCCCGTTGAGTTTTGCGGTGATCAGCGATGGCAAGTTTGATATTTTGATTTCCTTTGTAATCTCATATCTCATTCGGTTTTTCCGCATACTTTGTTGAAGCACAATTCTTTGTATAAACAACGTTTTATAGACCCCTGGCTTGTATTGAATTCCTAGAGGAATTGTTCTGGGGGACAAAACGATAGGACGTCTCTTCTTATGCAAAAAGAAAAAAGAAAAAAGAAAAAAGAAAGAAAAAATCCATTGTTTTGTTCCCCAGAACAATTCCTCTAAGGACTCAGTGCAAGGGGTTTATACAGTTCCTCACACTCGTATTCGTATGACGCCTGTAGTCATCGACGACGTTAGAAAACATACTGATGGTTTTTTTATTATTATCATTATTATTATTTTCTTCTTGTTCTTGTTCTTCTTTTACTTTTTAATTCTTCTTTTTGCTATAACATTTTCAGCTCTATCCCTCAAGTGTTATGTGTGCAATAAAAAAAATGAAAACTGTAAGACTGGGGAGACCACGTGTAAAAGTTCACAAGACAGATGCGGAAAATCGATTTTAAATGGTGTGATCAATAAAAGTTGCACTACCAGCCAAGTGTGCAGTAAAGCCAAGGAATTTTGCAAGAACCAGGAAAAGTGTGAAGCCTATTGCTGTGACAGTGACCTGTGTAACGGAGGTGTGCCCCTGAAGCCTGTGACGTTCGTGACTCTCCTCGCCATGGCTCTTGCCGTTGCTAAGTATCTCATCTAACCATGACAACGTAGCAGTCATTCACTTTTAAAAYGCAGCTAAKTTTTTAACATAAAMATTTTCTCGATTAGAAAATGATTGTCATTTCCATTTTCACTTTYATTCAATTATCGACTRTGAACCGTTTTTATCATAAAATTGTAAAACTAATTGAAAAATAATTGAATAATTAGGTATACAAAATAATTGCATATCAACCTTAAGATTATGTTATTTTTGTTATGTTCACTTTGTTGCTTTTTTGCTTGCTTTTTCAATAAATGAAATAACAACCAAATGTTGAATTGAAACAATTGTCTGAAAAAATTACAAAGAATGTAAGGTTACAAGGGAAAATAATTCTGGACCCAGTTGTTCAAAGCCCGATTAGTGCTAATCCTGGGTTAACTCTTAATAACACCTATAGAGTTAGTCCAATAATCCTGTTCGAATTTGTCAGACTTACTAATGTTGAGATGCTTTCTCAAATGACAAGGTATTTTGTTCTAACAAGATAAATAATCAAAACTCGCCCCAGTGTCTATCATTTCCAAAGTGAACAATTGCATGTTTTACTGGGATACTTGTGGTTTCACAGTCATAAAATGTCTTTGGTTTCAGTTTTGTTTTGTTTTTTTCCTGTCTTCTCCACGACAAAATGGCAAAGTTGCGCAACAGTACCCAGGGGTCTTCGGAAACTTACCCAAGAGACCTTTGCGGGCATATGCTATGGGGGTCACATCCATACTCCAATCAACTATCATGTACCAAATGTCAATCAATGTCACTATGTTATCAAGTGATTATGAGAGGGTGGAGCTAGCAGATCACGTGGCACAGGTTTATGTCTACGCATGCTCTATTTCGTTGTCCGCCGTAATTCAAGACAGCCGAACTAGAAATATTAATTTGTCAATTTCGTGAACAAGGATTTCAAGCAGAGAAGATAGCGATGATTTCGAAGCGATTATTTCTAAGAATTTTCAATGAACTTCATTAGCAAAAGCTTGTTTTGGTTTACCATTCATGATTCATCTACTCCAGTATTTCGTTCTGCACGAACAAGGGAAGATCGATGAGGACTGACAAAATTGGATGAGTCCTATTTGCCAGTCAGAGGAATTTTTCGAGTCTAATTATTTCTTGATTGGGGAGCATGAAATCCATTACCTATTAATTATATAGCTGCATAATTAATCCCATATCAACAAGATCTATCCAATTAAGAAAATAATTGGATAGTTACCTAT